TCATATGTCGACCCATCGAGCCAGAAAGCCAACCGACAGCAAACTTGCTGTGATCTGGTTGTTATCTGCTTGTGATAAGGAAGCAACCAGTGGAAGAATTGGAACCACTGGTGTAACCCTACATATGTTTGGTGTGATAAACAGCATACTGTATTGTATCCAGGAGTTTGTCAGTCTGTGTCCAGTATGAACAGGAAGATTACAGCAAGAAGAATCGGCTTCAATGTTCATATGACACCTGATATCTAATGTGTCAGCTGACTCAGTTTGAGTTTCATGATGTTTCTGAAGAAAAATCAGGACCTGATGAGAGAAGAAACTTCTTACAGAGTGAATCTTCTCAGCCGTTCACTGACTAAAGAATCTCAAAACTCTTCAAACAGACAGTCTGTACTGAAGGAATGATGTTCATGCTGTTTATAGTCTGCGGTTGAGGTTTCATTCTTATCAGCACTGAAGAGAGGTTTGTATCATTAGCCCCAACCAACTCAGAACAAGTCAAAGTTCTTAATTAGACAGAACAACAAGAATAAAGTTTATTGACTCTGCAGAGAAACAAGTTCACTGCTGCTACAACGAGAGTCCCAAAACAGAAATAAAAATAAACATAACAAAACAACTGATAGTTGTAAATGGATTCTGTTCTGACTCAAACATTTATCTATCTAGAGGATATCAAGGATATCTTCTCTGTGGTTTGTTTCATAGCCGGTCTGTTCCGACTGAAACTGCTGTTTTTATCATCTACATCGATGAATTAAGGATTTATTTCACCAGACCAGAGTTGTTGATTGTTGGAAACACTAACAGAGATGATTTTATTGAGTTTAATCTTTGCTTTCTGTCCCTTTGAATTGTATGTTATGAGGTAGAATAACAGGTTTTGTTAATAGAGTCTGTTGAGCTGTAGTGCTATTATTGTTTTGGTCTGAGATGCTGTAGCTCCAATGTGCCATCTAGTGGCAGTGAGTTTCATATATATAACCTTTAAAGGCCAGGACACACCAACCCGACGGCCGACCGTCAGCAGAAAAGCAGCTGGACTGATCGGGCGGCTCCTTCTCCCCGAGACTCCAGTAAACACAGCGCACGCTGTTGTCAGTCATTGTTTTCATCAGAGAGTGTTGATAGTAGTCAAGAAGAATCGTTATTGTCATTACCGCTGAACGGAAAATACGATGGCTAATAACAAGATACTGGCGTTGTCAGCTGTTTATCTAGTATGTTTACCATCGTCACTTCCAGTTTTCTCGTGCACTCACTGATTCGGTAGTCAAGGGCTAGCACTCCACCAATCAGATTGGTCATTGGTCATCCCTACATGTCTAATCGGCCAAAATGAACGCCAAAGCTGACGGCGGCACGGGACACACCGAACCGACTTGAGTCACCCGACTGTCCTACGGCGCCCACCGGCCGATAATCGGGTCGGTGTGTCCGGCCTATATACAATAGGAAACAAAATAAATGAAAGTACTGGGGAGTCTCTGGGGACCAGTTAGAGGCCAGCTGGACATCAGTGGTTGGACTGGTTGAAGGTGTGAAGGTCTACCTCAGTGAAGAGTAGACGACCTCTGGCTCTGCTGGAAACTCTGAACACAAACAAACAAACTCAATGAGGAACAACACACAACAACTTCTACACTGACAAGCAGGAACTGCTGATGAGTTTCAAACTGACAGGTTATTAAAAACATATAATTGGTTGCAAAGAATCATCTGTAACACTGTCCAATCAAGAGAAATTAGCCATGTAAACAAGAAGTCACTGTAGTGTCACTAGCTGTAATACGCCTTTGTCAGTCTATAGAGGGCCAAATCAAAACGGAACTTCCAGGTTATATTCCAGAAGTGAGAAAACATCATTCAAAATCATATTGACCATTGTAACTAACATTAATAACTAAGAATCCAGTAAGGCACGAGACTTCGTGTTTAGTTAAGATGATGGTTTATATAAAGAACCTCTAGCATTCCCCCACAGGAAGACAGCTTTACCTCTTGTCCTGTTTGGTCTCTTGTCTTTGATGACTATTTGTCCATAACTGACGTCTTCTGCTCTCTCACTGTTGAGTAAACTGCAGCTGGATCACTCTCTGCAAAACATACAATTATCTTAAACCTGCATTCTTTCTCATGGCCAGCAGGAGGCAGCTCCTCCTCTTCCATACAGAATGATGTTCATTTAGTAAGTTATGATCCCATTTAAAGTACAATAGACCATAAAGTAGGGTATGCTTTAGGGCAGCCAGCTCGAACTCTGCTGTGGATTTGGTGGGAGGGGGTTAAGGGAGTGATACATGTGGCAGACAAACATGAAAGGTTTTCAATGTTCAAGTTACCTAAGGCTGACAGTGCTTCTGATGACTTAAAAATCTGTAAATTGAGTGGCCACCTCATTTCAGTCCAATCTTATTAAACCTTATGTCCCATTCTGTGCTCTCCATTACCAGAATACTGCTCTCCCATATTTCCCCCAGAGAACTCATCTGGCTACAGGGTCTGCCCCCTTCTTCTGGAATAATCTCCTGCTGACGTCATTACAATCTCACTCCGTAGACTCTGTAGATTTTTTTGCCTTTAATTAACTCGTAATTAGTGCTATTCTCAGATTAGTTTAAGAGTCACACACTGGTTATCTTTCGGTGAGTTGGTCTCAGTCTCTGTGAATCTCTTAACCCAAGTACAAGTAAACCCACAGTTTGTTCTGTACACTCACCAAGACTATAGTGAGAAACCTCATCCGCTTCAGACCACAGTTAGCTGGAATCAACAAGAGGAAGTTGCTGCTGTGGTTTGATATACAGAGTGAAAAAACAACCGAGAGGCTCATCGACTCTGGTGATATTCTATATATATTTATATATATGTTCAGACTCAAATCATGTTGTGTATAATATATCTACTTAGAGGTATTGGATAGTTGGACTAGTGGATCAGAGCCTGATATATCTTATTCTCTGTGCCATAGAGCTCTATTGTTGTCCAAAACTACAAGAGCCAGAAATGTGCATTTATCTGCCACTGAAAAATAGTCCCCAACAAACGCACTATTTCCTGCTGTTTGTTTGATAAAAACTACAACTCTTTTAGGAAATGACCTAACCTATTTTTTCAGGGACACGAAACAGGAAACTGAACAACGACAGAGCTGTTTCTGTTAACACATTCACCACAAGGTACAAAAAGTATCACATGTTTTGTTAATTTTGAGGGACATGTTCTCCAAAATATCCTCATTTTATAAAACTGCCCTCACTTTCCAAAGTGTCCTCTCAAGGTCTAAAACTCATATTGGTCCTCACAAAGATGCAAGAACAAGAACGCACACAGTCACTGTCCCGAGGAGAAAAATCAATAAAACCATCATTACCTGTGATCCGTCTGATTGGCTGTTGTTGCTGACGTGATATTTCAGTGTATGTGATGTCATCCAGGATGTCACCACCCCCACTTTCTACTTCAGCAGCTGGAACGAACCAAAATAATCAGATCAGATTTAAATTAATTTTAATCTCCGTTTTAAAGCCAAAAGAAAATCAAAAGCTCAAGAGCAAATGAAATGGACCTTCTGAAGATACTGGTACCATATGACACTAGAAGACCTAAGGCATTCATTGGAACCAACCAACTCATGCTAGCTTGTTGGGAAGGGGGCTAAATAACACTATTATAGTTTTTGGTTTCAGTTAGTTATTTACTAACATATACTTTTATGTTGAGTCTTTCCTTAGGTGTCTTGTTTAACTTCATTTCCTGCCCTGCCCCGGTTCACCTGTGTCTCGTCTGAACAACAGCAATATAATTTATGGGGAGAAAGGAAGATATTAGACTTAAGGAAACAGTTTGTAATTAGAGTGGAAACTTGTTTGTAGACTCCAGTTCTAAAATGTAAAAAAAAAAATGTAAATGTCAAACCCCTTCTTTATCTTTTTGTATGTCTGTCTGTGTCTAACCTCTAGGTTTTCTATGGGTGCATCGTGTCACCAGTAGGACCAGTAGAACCAGTAGAAGCAGAACACAGACAGATGGAACAGCAGACCACAACACGAAGGGAGAAAGAGAGGGGGGGAACCAGAATCAGAGTGGGGTGAGGCAGATGGGGTTGAAGGAGAACTTGTGGTAGTTGATTTCCTAAAATGAACAAAAAAATATATATATTAAAACAATATTATAAAATAAATAAATAAAATAACATTTATTTTTTATATGGACAATACATTCAGAAAATAATACGATTGAACTAAGAAACTGAAGTTGCTCCTGTTTGGATCATTCTTCCTCCATGAACTCAAACTTCACTCAGGGTTTTGTTTTCCTGGTTTGAATTCAGAACTTTACAGCAGCTGTTAGTTTGAGAATAATCTGTGAGCTCCTCACCTGTGACAGTGATCCAGCTGGGTGGAGACTCTCCATGACTGCCAATGTGACACTTGTAGAGGCCTTCATCAGACCTGGAAACATGGTGGATGGTCATGTGACCTGTAGGCTCAGTCCTGATGAGGGAGCCATCTTTATAGAAAGCAGCTGTGAGGTTGGAGGGAGGGGTCTTTGTTTTACAGTGCAGAGAGACATCATCTCCCTCCATCACAGGGAGGACAGGACTCTGCAGGATCACTGGTCCACCTCAACACAGAGACAGACTACAGCATTTCATCCATTTACACACAGCTTCATCAACACTAACTCCACAGTCTGATCTTACCAGTGACACTGATGTTGATGGTGTTACTGGTTGCTCCTCTCTGGACTCACACCAGTAAACTCCACTGTCCCATGTGGTGGTGAAGCTGATGGTACAAGAAGAACCAGCTGCTTCTCCCCAGTCTTTTCCACACTGAGTCCTGGTGTCTCTGGTTGTGTTCCTCCTCAAGGTCCATCCAGTAGAGCTGTCGTCCTCCTCACAGCTCAGAGAGACAGGGTCTTCTTCAAACATCTGAGAGCTGCTGGGACTCACAGTCAGATGAGCTGGGGGATCATGGGTATTTGGGGTGAAATACCATGCTTAGACAGATTGTTGTATTTCTGATAATAACCTTGTGAGTTTCTCTATGAATTCATTATGACACTAGCTCAGATAACTGGTAGAACCAAACAAACCTCTGTACCACACTGTCGTAAAACTACACGCCTCCCTGTTTTTGTCTTATGAATCTTATTAAGCTTAATCTCAGTTTATTGTTCGTCCAGACAAATGACGTTGAGGTGTGTCCTTGTTTATCTAATATAGGTATATATCAGAAGCCTAAACTTTTAAAGCAACCAATGATACCACCAAAGAATTTTACTAACCTTTGGTGGATATGCAGCTACAGAAACAAGGTCAGCACTGAAGAGAAAGGACACTCAGGTTGGTTTGAGCTTAAATGGAACCGGATCAAAAGGTTAAGAAATCGAAACCTACTATTTGAGAAATCTGAGACACTCTCCTCCTCAACGTTTGTGCTTGTGTGAAGTCTTCCTCACATTATTACATGAAACAGAAATGCCATATTTCTATCACATCCCCACATGGTCCTGAGATTCTATAGCTTCAGTTTGTGTGCAGTTAATTCCAGTGATGAGGTGTTAGTGGAAAGATGTGCTTTCTAGAGCTGAGTATGATAGTCCAGTGGTTTATGTGGCAGCAGCATGAGCCTATAGGATGTCTCTATAATCCACTGTAGACAGTGAGGTTTGGTATGGTTTCTTCAGACAAAGAACTGAATAAAGGAATCCAATTAAAACTTTTCAGCAAGATGTTCAACTATGCTGCTTTTTCTCAAGCTAGTTGTCATCCAAGGACATATTTTCCACTGGGGTTGAGGGGAATGTCCCCTCATTTCTCAAATCCTATTTTTGATTCTGATTTAGTGGACATCCAGCTCTGCCTCCTGAGCCACCTTAGCAATATGTCCCTGGTCATTGTGGGAGAGTCTGGTCATGTACATTGAGAGCAAGGAGGAAGTGGGAAGGTAAGCAGGCAGGTCAGTTAAATAACTAGGTTTATTACAGGCCTGTGACTGATACTGGAATTTCCCCACCAGAGTATTTGAACTATTGCTGTTCAGATGTAAAGAACATTTCAACCAATGTGACAGAAAATGCTTCTCAATTACATGACCTACCCAAGAAGATGGAAATGGAGTGTAAGGCGTTTACAATTCTGCCTGATTTCAGGCAATTAGACATTTAACATTTGCTCACAGCTCAGCTCTTACATCTCATCCTCTCACCATCCCGTCTACTCAGCAGAACAACAGAAGAAAGAAGAAGAAAGATTTCACTTACGGAGCAGACATTGTAGAGATGCTTCCTTCATCGTCTTACTAAATCATTGGTGATCAGCTTTCTTACACGAGTCAAACCAAGTGAAGCCCACCCGCTTCCTCTCTCTCCGTCTGTGAGTCTCTTTGTGGTTTTTTTTTGTCTACGGTGTCACACACACACACACACACACACACACACACACACACACACACACACACACACACAGAGGTGTAGGATAAATAACTCAAGTATTCACACATTTTACTTAATGTACCAAAAATAAAGTTTACAAAGTTAACTCTCTGAATATTTATGTTAACACGTGTAATTATTACATGTTTAAATATTTGAATAGTTACAATAATCTTCTGAATCTGTCGTCCTATATTCTGATTGGTTAGTTGAGTCACATGTGGGTTATGATCGAGGAAGTGTTGCTGTGAAGCTGAAGGTTTTCTGTTGGTGGTGCAAACACTCAGCGTGCTGTGGAAACTGTCAGGACTTGTGGTCACACGCAATGGTGATTCTGGGGGGTGGCCTGGGGTGGCCGGGGCCACCTGAAAGCTCATTGGCCACCCCTGTGGCCACCCCATATCTGATTGGTAATTGGTCAAGTTCGTCAACACAAGAAACAAGAGAAATGCTGTCAATCAATGATGACAGCTGATCAACTGATTTAGGGCCAGTTTTAAATTTTTAACTAACACAGTAATGGTCGTACTGAGGCTGTTAGAGCTGACGTTTGGCCATGCAGGTCAGGTGACCCATGAGATGAGCACGCTGCACCTGCTGCTGGTCCGTGAACCAGGAGGACGGTCACAGTTACAACATCAACAATACAACAACAATAAAAACGCTGAAATCTGTCGATTAGTTTAATGTTACGTTATATCGTAGTTCCCTCTGAATGTGGAGGAAAACTTTATCTAGCACTAAAGGTCCAACTACACTGCACTGGTTAGCTTAGCAGCCTGCAAACCAAGTTAACCATTGAACGTTAGCATTTAGTTTTTTAATTGTTATTTGGATACCGCCATGAAATATGAAACACTATTTTCTGGGCTGAAGACTGAGGGTGTTTTTTGCAGATGTGTGTGTTCAATAGAGCTAATGTTTTATTTTTGGCCAACCAGTGTGTGAAATATAGGGTGACAGTCTAGATTTAAGTAGCTATAACACAAGAACAAGCTGTGACTTTTTTATTTGCTCTGTGCTTTAAGGGCTGTTTAGAGGCATTTTTCTCTTGCAGATAAAGGACTTTTTGTTTGTATCAATTAGCTCATCTTCACAGTTCACATGTTTTTAGACGTTTAAATAGGCAGAGGCAGAGCAAATTGCATTCAAATGCCACAAATGCTTGAGATGCAATATGTGTTTATTGTGTTATTAAAAGTGAGTGGTAAGAGTGGTAGTTATGTAAAAATAAACCTTTGTAGAATCTACAAATAGACATAATTAGGCACATTGTTGACACCTCCTTTCTTTTTGACATTTTAATGGAGTCAAAGCTGTTTTTAAGGCGTTCCAGAGCCCCACCAACACCTGTATTTTGCACACTGATTCTAACCCAATTTGACAATGATCCTGCTTGACGTTTGGAGTTATAGCTATTGTTTCAAAGTGAATTGACTGACTGATTGATTGAGTGATTGATTGATTGATTGATTGATTGATTGATTGATTGATTGATTGATTGATTGATTGATTGATTGATTGATTGAGTGAGTGAGTGAATTACATTTCCCTCAGGGATATTAAGAGAATTGTTATGAAGAGAAGCAGAGATATTCAGAGCTTCTTCAAAAAAAAAAGCTTCTACCAGCAGCAGTGAAAAGGCTCAGTCAGGTCAGCAGCCTAGTACAGCAGTAGTGATGAAGAGGAGTCAGCTCCTCCTGCACAGGATGGTAAGTCATGCTTGGATAGTTTGAATTTACCATGTAGGCTCACATTCAAGTTGTTTGTCACTCCAGCTCTACAATTACAACTGTCTGAAACATCACTACACAAGAACAATAGTTAAAACAGTTGTAAAAGACAGAAGAACAATAATAAAATGTGCATAATAAATAAATACACACACACACACACACACACACACACACACATATGTATGTATGATTGTGTGAGTGTAAAACAATAAATATATATATAATATGCGTGTGTGTGTGTGTGTGTGTGTGTGTGTGTGGCAGAACCTCCAGCCTATTGATGTCTCAGATTTCTCAGATATCTGTGTATTCCAGCTGACCAGCCACACCCAGAGGAGGATCCAGCAGTGTCTGGAGCTCCACCAGCTAAGCATGGTATGTCAAGTTCTGTTATGTCCAGATGTCATTCATGAACAGTTACCTGAAGTTGTCGTGTACTCTCATACTTGATTTAATTTAAAAAGGACGGTCCAAAATATTTTTACCAGCATAGACGCTTTTATTTGACAGTTACGAGAGAGGAAATCATGGGAGAGAGAGAGGGGAGGTGACATGCAGCAAAGGACCAGGATTTGAACTGTGGTCAGCTGCGTACATATACGCATTAAACTTCGGTATGCCATGGCCACCCCACACTAGCTTTGTGTCCCATCTTGGCCACCCCAGTAAAAATGCCACTGGTCACACGTGACACAAACTAAACGTTTGATTCCACATATTGACCGATGTAATAATAATCAGAGATAACATGAAGATCTGCTTTGAGGAGGGTGGCTGAATCCCGGGGAAGCTTTGGGGCTTCAAGTGCAGCAGCTCAGTGACATCTAGTGGTTAAACTGATACACAACCTCTGATTAGAGTTTTAGTCTCATATGCAGGCTTGGGAA